TGGTAATTTGAATTTAAATTTAAAGCAGTTGATTTTAAATGGAAGAAAACTTTGCTGTGAGTGTGTTTTCATACACACATTTTTTTAGTTTCTTGAAATTAACTGATATTAATTTTGATTACTAATTATTTCTGTGTTTATTTCCAGTTTAATGCCACACACAAACATATAAAGTTGATTATATTTTATATAAGTTTTGAAAAATTATTTCACCCAGGCTACATTTATTTGATTCAAATCACTGTAATATTGTGAAATATTTTTCTAGTTTATAATAGCTTTTTTCTATTTGAATATATTTTAAAATGTAATTTATTCCTGTGACACAAAGTTGAATTTTCAGCATCGTTACTCCAGTCTTCAGTGTCACATGATCCTTCAGAAATCATTCTAATATGCTGATTTACTGCTTAAGAAAAAATGTTTATGTTGAAAACATGCATACATTTTTTAATAGAAAGTTCAAAAGAAAAGCATTTATTTGAAATAGAAATTATATTATAAATGTTTTGTTATTATTACTGCATTGTTACTTTTTAACAGATCTTTGCTAAATAAAAATATTAATTCCCTTCAAAAAATAAGTCTTACTGACCCCAAACTATTAAAAGGTAGTGTACATATATTAATAAAATCAATTGATATGTCAAATGAAGTAGTTTTACAAGATTGAAACCTTCAACAGACACGTAGAAAGTGATCTGGTTTTGCCCATTTTGTTGAAATATATTATTTCAGTTCAGTAAATTCCTTTTCCTGTCATTCCAGTTCAAATTCCTGTTCATCATCCCGTGGGTCGTGGCTAATTTGATTCAAATTCACACTCTTAAACTGAAAGGGAGCCAAAACTTGATTTAATTCTGAATCAGGCACATGCATGTCCCAGAATCCCGTTTCCTGCCTCATCTCTCTCACTGCATGGAGAGACACGTAATTTGATATTCAAATGTTTCCACCCAGGAAATCGGACATCATCTTCATCAAATTGATTTCTCAGTAATGTTCATTGTAGTGTGGTAATGGATTTGTCTCAGTATTGAGGGAAGCACTTGCCATCCATGATCATTTCATCTTGTTCCCTGGGCTCCTCAGCATGATGTGGTTATCATGTCAATTTTAGTCCTCTCATGCGAAATTCAGATTTTCTTTTTGAGTCATGACACAGAGGAAGATTTTATTGCACTTTCAGAGCTCAGAGGAATTCTCACTTATAGCTTCATTGCGATATCAACTAGACGTTGTAGATGTTTCTACAAAATATTATTTGGAGAATAAAAATATATTGGATATAGATCCAGATCAGATTATGGCATTCTTCTGAAACTCTAGAGGAGACACCTGTGGGATTTACTGGGGTCTTTTCTTCTGAGGGGGAAAAATATCTAAGAAACAGGAGACTTAAGTTTAAGTGTTCATTTTCTCTCCATTTAATATTGTTATTGACTAGAAGATACACCTGAGACATTAAAGACATCTCATTTGGGATTTTTCTTTCCTATGAGAATTTATGTTATACTTCAGTTCAAATCCTTATGTGCTCATTAATTTTAAAGTTACAAAACATGATAAATACGTTAATTCTGGTGAATCACCCTGATGTGCTTTATTTTAGAAAGGGATTCACCAACTTACAGCCATTTTACTTCATATTTCATTTTATTTCAATAATTTAACAGCACATTTGTAACTTCACGGCTCTCTGATATCAATTTTAGTAAGTGTTTTATTATTTTTTA